TTTTTATAACTTGAGAATCCGTGATTTGTAGCGCCAAGTCAACGTGGTTCTATGTCTATTGTTGGTCATAGTGAAGATGCTTTGACGAGGATTCGAAATGTAGAGATGATTGAACTTGGACGTTATCGCATACAGCCGTGGTACTTTTCCCCTTATCCCCAGGAACTTGTTTCTTTACCCTGTATTTATCTTTGTGAATTTTGCCTTCAGTTCCTCAAAAGCGCTACGTGTTTAAGACGTCATTTGGTAGGGTTTTTTGTGTGTTATTAAAATTCAGTATTGTTTGCTGTCGTTTCATTCTGCTTCCAGATCAAAAAATTGTTTCCTACCAAAGTAAAATTATTATTTTTTTAATTTATCATTTGAGATGATTTCTAGGCCAAATGTACTTTAAAACATCCTCCTGGAAACGAAATATATCGCTCTGACTCTCTTTCCTTTTTTGAAATCGATGGAAGGAAAAATAAAGTCTGGGGTTTCGCTTTTTACCATTCTTTCTTCGTCACTCGTATCATTTCTGATATGCTGCTTTTTCAGACATATGCACAAAATCTTTGTTTATTAGCCAAATTGTTTTTGGATCACAAAACGCTGTATTATGACACGGACCCATTCTTATTTTATGTAATGACAGAGCAAGACCAGAGCGGGTTTCACATTGTCGGGTATTTCTCGAAGGTAGGTTTGTCGCGCAGACTTAGTTTGAGTTTTGCAGAAATTCAGTTTTTTTCTGTTAGTTATCACTAAATTGTCGTTTTGTAGTCGTTAGAATTTTTAAGATTTTTTATTGATTTTTAGGAGAAGGAATCTGCTGAAGAATATAATGTCGCTTGTATATTAGTACTTCCACCGTATCAGAAAAAGGGCTATGGACGGCTTCTAATTGAATTCAGTTATGAGTTATCAAAATGTGAGGGCAAAACCGGTTCACCTGAAAAGCCTCTGTCGGACCTTGGTTTAGTTGGTGCTTCAAATCAATTTTTTTTTATAACCTAGTTATTTTTCATTTGTATTTTAGATGACCTCTGGTATATTTTTCTTATCATTCCTGTTCTTATTTAGCTCTCCTATAGAAGCTTTTGGTCGCAAACTATAATTGAGAAATTGGTAAAAAGACGAGAGAAACGTGATAATGGAGAGCCAGTATGTGTGTCGGTGAATGATTTGAGCGAAGAGACTAGTATACGAAGAGAAGATATTATATCCACTTTGCAGGTATCATTTTGTTTAGACTTCATCTATTTATAGCAGATGGCCTTTGTTGTTTTTGGTTCTATGTCAGTAATATTTTTATATGTTTTTAGCATTTGAATCTGTACAAGTATTATAAGGGGCAGTACGTTATTGTGCTCAGTAATGAGCTGATTGAGGCTCATAATCGTAGGCTACAAGAGAAACGGCAAATCAGAATTAATCCTGCTAAATTGCACTTCACTCCAAGAGATTGGTCAAGGCGAAGAACTTGAATCGCCCTCCTTCTGAAACCTGAGTTGTCTGTAAAGTTTAATTGGATATTTTTCGTTTTGAGCATAATGTACAGTGCTTTTAAGAGACTACTTTAGTTTTGCTGATTTTGTTCATTAGTTTGCTTAAGTCGGAGAATTTTTGAAAAAATTTTTGCAGTGATAAGATGAAATTATACGCGCCTTTTTATTTTAAGGATCTCATTAAATGATGATCTATTACTTATGGTGTAGATCTTACTCCTCAGTTGATGTCTAACAATCTGGTAGCGTATTAAAGTGGGTGAAAAATCGACAACTTTGTTGTATTAGGGGAATTTTATCTGTTAGTTTACTCTTCATTTATTTTTGGCACTTAGGACTTTTCAAAAGATATGTCAGAGCGAAAAGGTAAAGGTTCTAAACTGGCCCTGTACGGTTTCAGAGCGTTATTTTAAATGATTGCAGAGGCATTGGGAGTGTCTCGTGTGGTATACTAAAAAGTTCCGCGTTTTCTAAATTGTATGAAGTTTACCAGTTTTGGCATTTAATCTCGTAACTGTATTATATTAAGGCGATAAAAAATCCACATTTGTAATGAACCTTATGATTATTATAGCCTGCTTAATTGTTTCTTTATCTTTTGATGGAATCTTTTTTCTAGTTATCTGATGAAGTTTTGCTCATGTCGGTAAACAAAGATTGAATAGTAAATTTAATGTTTTGACTTTTTGTTGCATCAACATTTGTAATTCGTAGATTTTACAGTTTGTTTGGTGTAATTATGAAAGTATAGTAAACTGGAAAACGAAAAATTGGTTTTGGCAGGTAGCGCAGTATGTACCCGTTCATGAGGTGAGCGAAGGAAGTTGAATGGGGATGCTGGTTTGTAAAGTATGTTACATGCTCGTAGTTTCCTGCTGGTAAGTTAGCTCTGTGAAGCCATCATTGTTTTTCTGCATTCATTTTGCAGGATTTATCCTTCCACATCATGGCAAGTTTTAATTTTTTTTTAATTTTAAAGAATTGTTTTGGTTTTAGTTGGTATCTTTAAGTTAATATCGTTACTTGGGTAGAGGGGAATCATTCTTGTAGCGTACGAGCTTTAGTGTCTTGGAGAATCTTTTGAGTAATCTAGTTTGGAAATTCAGATCTACTTCTTGAAAACCATTGTCTTAGTGTATTCATCTATTATCAGTGACTCCTCATAGCGCATAAGTTATTCGTAAAGATCCTAACGATAGATGGCTAATTATGATTTAAAGTAATAACCTCATTATGTTTACTTTGACACTGCGAAAACAAAAAAAGTTTTTTCCGCATGCAACCCTAAATGTCTTTTGCCATAACTTTTTATGAGTATCATCTTCTTTCTTTACTAAATCACTGGTTGTCACGCGGTCGTGTTGGTGCTGTGTAACTTTTCTGTCGGTCGTTTAATCAAAAGAATTTGAAGGAGTTCTGCAAGTATTTTTGAGCATTCTTTTGTAGCCCAAATAATTTTTTTGAAGAAATGCGGTTGTGTACGAAATTTTTGGCTAGCAAATCTTTGAGTAGTACGGGTGCAGTGCGTTTCAGAGATGAAATACGCATTAATTAGTTGATAAGCGTTCTGAACGAGGAATAGCTTTTTGGAAACTTACCTTAACATAAAGAGGAGTCCTTCAGGAGTTAGATGTAGACGAGGTTGTTACTTGGGAAGTGTCTGTCATAGTACCAGTTGTGGAGGGATGACTATATTGCTTATTTAGCAAAGAAAAGTAACACCTTGAAACATGGTTAGTGGCAAAGTGGATCAGTTGAGCTGGTTGTTCAAAGGTCTGTTCACTGGTTTTGCTTTCAGTTGATAACGTTAGATGCATTCTTAAGTTTTTCTACATTTGGTTTTGCAAGGAGAAAGAAATGAGCGATGCAGATGATTATATTATGCTTAGTTAGCTATTAAGGGGCTATGTAAATGTAATGTAGGCAAAGGCGTATGTCTCTCTTCATCGACTCAGTTCTTCATAACTTTTTAGTAGGAGCAATGTCCACCTGTATACTAACTGTTTAGCAAAGTTCTTAACGTTATGGTAATGTAAAATACGGTTTTTCTCAATTGGAAACTGTTTTCATAGTTTTCTGGCCAGTATTTTCTTTCCTAAACGACAATCCTGCAATTTTTGATTTTGGACCGCCCGTCTAACTGACTTTTCTGCCGTTTGTATGAGTATATTCCTGATTATTAATTTGACTACTCGTGTTCTCCATCATTCTTGTGGAGCCTTTTCAAGTTGTTTGCTGTATAAAGCAAAACATGTTTAAGTTTTAGCTTCTCTTCGCAATTAAAGCTTACTGTGGTAAGCTAATTTTCCTACTCTTCACAGTAACTCTAGAGTCGCTGTACGGAACGATATTCATGTCCTTCTTGCTGAAAAATGTTGGTTTGCATCTTCTTCATATTGGTTAACGAAAGCCTCTTCTTGTATATTTCTCCTCTACAAAGTAGTATTTATATAACTTGTCGTCCTGTCTGCATTCTCTGCCCCAAAGTGTTCTTGTTGGCGGCAATCGTATTTCACAAAGACTCTGCATCTTTTTGTGCTTTATTCAAAATAAAAACAAAGGTTACTCTACCCAATACGACAACTCAAACATAAAAGCTGCTGTAAACCAAACGGACCTAGGCTTAAAATAGGGTTATAAAACAGATTCACGACAGATGCCCTATGATTATACAATATATCTACTTTTCGTTTTTCAAAATTTTAATTTTTTGTTCTTTCTTTAAGCTCTGCCCATTCTTAAAAAATAAATGCACTTTCTGCAGGGTGAATGGGACGAAATTTTAATTGGCATATTTTGGCGAAGGGAACACAGTGAAAAGATTTGGGCTTTTGTGAAATCCTTTGAAATTGGGTGTGATTGGAACTGTTGCTTGTTAGATGCATCGAACACGTAGTGATGATTAACGGCAAAGCCTACTGGTCACACACTGTGCAGTACAACCGTAAGTGTCTAATTACTGCATATGGAAAAGGTATCGTAGCGGAACTTCTCTTTCCCTACAGTACCTTATTTAAAAGTATATTCGTTATATGGGCTATACCGAAACACTGCTGATTCAAGTACGGTAAGCCCTTTATAACTGGCTTGCTGTAATGATAATTCTTATCCCTCTTATCAATCTGACTTCTACTAATGTCAGTTTCTCTGATTTTTCTATTTCACCAATTGAATTTGTCGCGACAGCACGCGAAAGGTCACCGCCCCAAGCAAAATAGCGGTCTCTGATCTGCCCCTGAGGGGTCGCGTATGGAAGGCAGACAGTTGGTCACTATCTTCCCGACAGGTATTTAAGCCGAGTAAATTGATCTTAAAACATAATCCTGCAAACCTCAGAGTTCTACGGCTGCTATTGACTCTTTATAGTCTTTCAATCGATACGATTCTCACAACAATTTTCTCTGTCTTTCAAACTTTCTTGATTTTGAATTTGCCGATTGACAGCTTTTCAAGTTATTGTTCAAAGTTTTGTTTATAAGTTAATAGATCGATCTCCATTTTTTAGTTTCAATTCATCATAACTCTTAATTTATTAGATGAGACTTTTGACCTGTGTCAAACGAGTCTTCCTATTGTAATATCATCATCTCAAATATACGGCGAGTTGTAATATACTTAAAGTTTTTTGAGCAATAAAGGGTACTAATTTAAGAATTTGGTCCACGCCAACGATTACAACTTTAGTAATCAACACTTCTTTTGGTCCTCTGAAACCTTGGTACTGTAAGCATCGGCGGCTACAATTGCTTACAGTAGATAAAAGTAGAAGTTAGGTCGGAGCTTATTTACACTGGTAGCCCTACTTTTTTTTCTCCGCCCCGGTGGGCAGGGCTTCTTTGGGAACCCTGCCCACTGGGGCGGAGATGGAACCACTAGCCCAAGCAAGACGCTAGCCAGTAGGACCCTGCTTGAGCTGGCAGCGAGCGAGCAACATACAGTTGCTGTACCTGCCGACATGCAGCACGACCAAAGTGTGCTTCCTA